AGGGGAGGAGGAGAAAGAGGAGCACGAAGCAAAAGTAAAAGGAACATGGGAACAAGAAATAGAAGCAAGCGGGGACGAGGCCCCTCGGTATTTTTCGGGCCCGTGCATAGGCGGCCCCTTTGTGTCTGGCTCCCTACCTAACTGCCCCTAAAAATTCCAGTATCGCGTTCTAGCCAGATACCAATCTTACCCATACAGAAAGATAGAGGAAGAGAGGTGGGAGAGGACGGGAGAGGGCGTGTGGATTGAATTGGATCAGGATCGGCTCGGATCGAAGCCAAAAATGGGAAGATCGGAATGGGATCTGAACCCGCCAATAATCGGACTATCCTTTCTTCGAAAGGGATCAAAATGGGCGTATACGACGTATTTGAGCTTTGGTCGTAGTCTAAGGTTGCATATGTATGTTTATGAGTGTACGGCTGGCAATGGGATTGAGGCCAAGAACAGCTTCTATGACATCAATTATTTCTTCTATCCGTCTATGCGTTAATATATTTATATGGCGCACATCACTCTACGAATTCACAATATTTATACGAATAGAGAAGCGACATTTTTCAATTGCTGTTTCCAGCGGATATTTTCTATCTCCTAATGAAGTTCAACGTAACGCCATATGTCTGTCTTCGCGGAACTTATTTTTGATAAATTCTCATGGGTCTGAGATAGGAGTCCTATGAAGCGTAGAGATATTTCTTTTTTTTTTTCCTTATGGCGACGATCGTCATCATAGAGTTACGAGGGCGTGTCTTCAAAGAGCCCTACGCTCTTGTTATATTAGCGGCATTAGGGTTCACTTTCAAAGAAATATCGCTAGACGGCGAATTAAATGACGGAGTTGCAGCGCGCTGTGACGTCGAGCAAAGAAGTAAACAACTGCTGCAAATGGCAGCCTTCGAATTACGGAAGAATGACTCGCCCGTTATGCAAGGCTCAGCAATGGCAGGTTTGTAAAAACAAATGGTAATTGCAGCTAGGCTGGCGCCTCCTAATTGCAGTGTGTCCGCTGGTCGATAATGATTGTTTGTCAATATTATGTACAGACTGTACGAGGATTCCGAAGAATTCCACTGGAATCCTTGGGAAGCTTGGAACTTCCTGCAGAACTCTTTGAGCCTCTTAGGGAATCTATTGCGTATACGGATTAGCTGGAACTACGAGGAACAATTGGAGTGCAGTGTAAACGCACCCTGCATATCTTGAGGGTAATGAAGTCTTATCCAGGACCCACGTGTCTGCTTCGTAAGCACGTGTGTCGAGTCCGTGGAGGCTTCATTTTCTTTGACGGGGTGCCTTTATCACTTTAGGGAAAAAAAACGGAAGGAGGGAGAAGATAACAAAACGACGCCTAGGTGACGTCGGGAGTTCGAGAAGTTATCGGTAGGCTGATGCAGCTGCAGCTGCTCATTGGAATCCTCAAGTGCACCTGCATCGTCCTAATGCACCAACCATATACAGACTCTTTGGATTTATTTCGAGGATTTCGGAGATATCATTTTACTCTTCAAGAGATGCAACTATTTTGTATGTTAACTTTATCAACTCTCTCTCTCTCTCTCTCTCTCTCTCTCTCTCTCTCTCTCTTTAGTAAATCGTTCCAATCATTTTTAATGCACTAATAACAAGTTCGAGATGGACAGATTTCTCGGAAAAGCGGCTCAATCGAGAGAACAAGAAAATGGAAGATAAGGGTAATGCGCGCCAAAGAGATTTAGATAGAGAGAAAGAGGAGTGGTTCCAGAGGGTGCAGCTGCGAAAAATCTCTGGGTGCACCTGCTCCCATCGTGGGAAGAAAAGGTCTTGCGCCGCGAATCCGAGTCCTCGCTCAAACGAATCGACACTCTCTCGACAGATGAAAAGAGAGAGAGAGAGAGAGAGAGAGAGAGAGAGAGAGAGAGAGAGAAACATTCTTTATTATACTAGAGCGAGCCCTGTAAGTATAAATTGGGCAAATGCGGTGTACAGTAATTACTGAGAAATTAAAACTATGCCAAATACTACATCTATAACTAAGCTTACACTAACTAACACTAACTTACTTCTTACTAAGCATATTATGGAGTAGATATGAGGTACCCATGTAGCGCAGTTTTAAAGTTCTCCAGTGATCGTTTTTGACGAAGTGCCACGGGAAGTGAGTTCCAAAACCTAACCCCGGACACTTCAACCGAAAGTTGCCACGTGGAAGTCCGATACTTAGGGACGCAGAAGTCCAGAGCATGCGAGCGGGTGGGGTACGGGCAGTCAGGCCTATTTGATTTTATTGTTAACTTCCCCGCAAGAAAGGCGGGTGGATTTCGGTGAGCCACTTGCCAAATTAACACACCGAGAAAGTAGAGTCGACGTTGCCGAATCGTCAGCCACCTTAGTGCGCGCGCGCGCGCGCGAGCGAGAGAGAGAGAGAGAGACTCTCTACTCTCTTCAACAACCGTCTACACAAGTTTACTACTCTCTAGTATCTCCTATCTAGATGCAGGTAGTCTACGGGACAGCTGCAAGATTCTGTATGAGGATGATCCTTAGGTTCCATCCGTTTCTAACCAAATGGAAAGCCTCGATGCATTCCATAACCTATAGACATACTGTATTCCAGGTGAGTTAACGCTGAAGCAATATAATTAAAGAGCAGACACCGAGTGCAGCTGGCAAAGCAGCGCTTTAAAAGTTCCCCGTGACTTGGGGCCGCTTACACGCTGCACTTTTTCTGCGGTTCAAGGAGGCGAAAGGGTTCTGCAGGTTCCAGTACGTCGTCGCACGTTCAGTGTACCACCTGTCCGATGTGTGATCAATTATTTCTACGAACTCTCACTCCCTCGCTCCAATCAGTCTCTATCCTACTTTCTAGATGCGCCAACGATAAGCAAGGACTCCTCGCGTCGCCGAGCATATCGTCTGATACGAGAATTACGAGGATAAGAAATATTCAACTCGTAATCGATCATTTCAGCCAGCCTCTTCCATACGTGGATGTTAATCCTATAGTATATATAGCTATGGGACAGTTAATTTTAGTTAATAAGTCACGCACTAGATAAGTCAGTCTGCCGGTCTAGCAGGCAACCAATAATAGGATTGCCTTCGAGTCTCTTTACCTATTTATACCTATAGACACGGAGAGTCTAACGCATGATGCAACGGGATCATTTTGTTAACGTATTAACAAATATATATATATATATATATATATATATATATATATATATAATGCTGCCGTTTTTGTCTAATTAACGCGAGCAAGTAACCAGCAGCTTATCACAGCTTCTAAAAGGATTTAAGGCAACACTTGTATTTCGTGAGTATATTACGCGTTGCTTATATTAAAACTTACGTCTTGCGTGTGTGCTACGCATGCATTCCCGATGCACTTCGATGCACAAAGGGCTCAGAAGCGTGGCGGCGGACAAACCACCTGTCGACAGCTGTTGCCTTCTAGCAGACAGTACTGTAACCCCCGATCCCCCTTCATCTCATCCGCATCCCTCGAACATTTTCCTTGGAGCCCTTAAGGAGCGAATGGCAGGCAACGAGATACCAGAGAGAAAGCTAAACAAGATTACAAAGAAAGCGGGAGAGAGCAACCACAGCCCCTCTTTATCCGAAATAGATACTCTGTATTTTTCTTACGTTTTTTTTTTTTTTTTTTATGAATTCGTATAACTTTTTCGAACGGACTGTACTGTACTTGGCTAGTTTTCGATTATTTTTCAAGGGCTTGAAAAAAAATGAAAATTTTTAAAACTTATACGACCGGCGACGTGACGCCTGGTTACGACGTCGGGGGTTAAGCTTGAACATCTTCTCCGACGCGCTCGAAATGAATAGTCTCAGTCACGCGACCAATTTCTCTCTCTTTTTTTATTTCGTTCCTTTTTTAACCTCCTTTTTCATTCTCCGGCCTCTTCGCATCCCTGTCTCTCGCTTGTTCTCCGCGTCCTCGTGCGGGACGCGGCGGTTGCAAGATGTCGCCGTTTCCGGACAGCTGGCGGTGATCAAACTTTGTATTTATCTCGCGCTTCGCCAAGGCAAAGGGCTCCACTTCCAGTATCGTCTTGCACCTGCGATCGACACTTGCAATTAGAAAGCTTTCCGTCCTTACGTAAAATATGAAGATGGGACGGGCTCTATTTTTTGTTATTACCACCTTTGAGCGGTTAGGAAGATTTAAATCTTGTTATCCGTTTGTTACTTCTTGAACAGCTTATACAAGGTCTTATTTTGCAGTAAAAATTCGTTACTCCGCAGCAAGTTATCCGAGACGCAAAATCCTTCACGGTTCTTCGAGTCTTTCTCACTTTTGTATACTATGTACATTCACATATACTATATATATATATATATCTCTCTCTTTGTCTGCTACACTTTCACTTTCTCCATTTTAGCCCGAAGAACGACGCAGTCTCTGCCGAGTCTAGCCAGTTCATCTAAGAAACTTTCACCGGCCGGAAATCCTCTTTTATATCTTTCATTCCTCCACTGTATATCGATACTCTCTCGCGTGATTGAGATACACCATCACACTGGTATGTATTGCACGTAATTCGAATATACATACAATGTACATATATTTATCGGATACAGGAGAAATCTGTGCGGCGTGGTACACGTGCTACGCGCCACAAGGAGTGACAGGCAGGTGTTATCAGAAGTAGGATTCACTTATTTTCCCAATTCCCGTCCCTCCTGCTCGCAGAGAGTTCAGCTCAAGATGTATCCCTAGGCCAAACAGGAGTTACCGAACCGTTCGAATGCAGCTGGGACAATGCACGTAGCTCGATTTTGGGAAATCTGAAATAATAAGAGGTACGCGACGGTCCAGCTGGAGAATCGGGAGGCTGATCCAAGGAGAGCGAAGAAAGGAAAGGAAGGCATTGTCCTCGCTCCTGGAAGGACTCGTAACTTATGAGAGGGTCACAAGGAATAAGTGAGAGGCCAATAGAGAGAAGACGTAAGAGAGAGAGAGAGCCTCTCATTCTTTGAACTCACCAGGGTGCGAGAGCACGCGACTACCAGACGGCAGGTGTTCGAGATTGTTGCACCCGGCAGATGTTGTCCCTTATGCTCCTAGAGTTTTTCTTTTTTTCTATCTATCTATCTCTCTCTCTCTCACTCCTTTCTTCTTTTTGCTCTCCTCGCGTCATTTCGAGTTCACCGTTCTCCGTCCGAGCATCGCTGTGCTAACGGCCTCGAGTTAAAAAGAAGTGAACAATTTTAAGGAACCTTGCGAAATCTCTTTGGTCTCATCTTGTATCCTTGTACACACGTAGCGCGCGTTCTTTAACTATTTAATTTTCATGTATTCATACGTCCTCCTCTCAGTGAACCCTGAGGTTGGCATAGACGCGCATATACATACATACATATATATCCTTGAACGTAGTCTGGTAGCACAAGGAAGTCCGCCTCGACTCTAAAGGGTACATAATACACGACGCGACGCGAAACGGCCGTCTCTTTCGACGTCGGGTTCACGTATTTTTAGTGGGATTATTCAGGCCAGGTGGCACCGATTTAGCTTACGCCGGAGTATTATTGGTGGCTGCGGACAACAACGACGATGAGAGATGTCTCTCTGCCCTCTTCCATCATCCCCCCTCCCTTCCTCCGTTCCACAGCCTCTTCTTCCTCTTCTTGTTTCTCCTTGTCACTCTACGTCGTACCTCTTTATCTTACTCATTCCCGCTTTCTTGCTACCTCGAATTACGAGACGTCTCAATCTGTGCCTCAGCGTTGCGCGAGTTCGCTCGGAAGATTTGTCAAATGTCTTTTCCTTGACGGCTGTGCAAGAGACGGATGCAGCGCGATAGCGAAAAAAAGGAAGACAGAGACAACGGGAAGACGGGTAGAAAAATGGAAAGGAATGAAAATGAGTCTTGTACAGAGGCGAGAGAAGATGCAATTTTCTACGGCCATGAATTAACTCGTAGTCGGTATACGTGTCACTCGTAAATGCACTTCTTTTCTTTAGAGCTTATCCGCGCGTAAATAGGAGAATGTGTGTCGCATCCTTGCGCCACCTAGGAGAACTAGTTCACTGGAACCTCCGTGCTACGATTCCACATGGTAAATATGGACATAAGACTTGCGCTGCAAGTCATACGGACCTAGAGATAGCTCAACTTTTTCGTACTGGAATTATCAATGTTTCTTTCCATTGTAGAATTCTGGGTAATTGGGCCATGCAAAACGTACCATTCATCGTATATCATTTTTGCCCTGAGCATTTGGTACGTATACTGCAGTGGTATATGGGTGCAGTTATTGTATTTGTTAACTGTACACGGAACCGCTCGAACTTGATATAAGAAAGTATCGAACTCTTAGAACTGTCTAGACTCTACGGTATATCCTGGGTCTAGATTCTATTCAGAACTCCAGGATGTTGGCGGAATGGAATATGGAAGCGATCCTACGGCTCCCCTATTTTAGTTCGACAAGCATTCTCGTTTGCTTTACGGTGCGACACCTACGCGACCGCTAAACAACTCTATAAATACAGTGTGACGCTTAGTAGAGCCTTCGGAAAGCTTAGTTTAGAAGACAAGGTACGTGAGTACCGAGATACAGATAACTTACGAAGAGCCATCGGGGTACGTCAACGATGCCGATTTCCGAAGATTGATTCGCGACTCTTCTCAGAATAATAATAACGTTTATCGCTTTACGATGGGTTAGGAGACGTTAATCGGTAAGAAAAATCGAAAAGTGATTGTTTAATCAGTTCTCGTAATACGCTGCTATCGGTTGGAGGCGCCAGGCGACTCATCCGGTCGAAGTATACTTTATTCTTCCATATAACCAGGGGGATCAGCATACTAGACGAATGCTACGATTTTATGTAAATACTTCACGTGGGGAGTATCCATATCTTGTAAATAGATAGATCGATCGGTTTGCTTTGATTTATAAATATTATATTTTTCATTCCATTTTCTGAGTCCGTCAATATACATAATTACGTATGTATACGA